CTGCTAAGCCAACGTAAACATTCAGACTTCCTTAACGAAATACAATTAACAAAACAAGTTACTTCACCATCCTCCGGCCCCTGGTAGAATATGCTATCTAGGTGGGATCGGCGCAAGAGAATAATGTTGCCAGTGGTATTGGCTAAGGTTTCCTACCGGCTACCTGATAATTGTCAAACCTTTTTGGGAACAAACAGCCAGTGAACAATAATCTGTGTGTGAAATATGTGTCCAGGTGGGACACGAATATATCGATCCAATTCGCGCTACCGAAGGTAATAGACCAAGAAAACCACCGAGTCCCGTCATTTATATGTTTTTGAATATATTACTCGGTGGCATAGCTATATCCTGGTTTTATTTCATTGTTATTATTATTATTTATTATTACTATGGGGGGGATATTCATTTGTTTTCTTGTCTGGTTGGGTTTATAAATAAAAATAAAAATATAGATACATATTGCATATATAAAATAAATATTATGGATAAAAATAAACATATACATATAAATGTTGTATATAATACATATATAAATAGGACCCAACCAGACGGAAACACTCGGCAGGGGAGACCAAACGGCCGAGGGTTAGGGCGATAGGGAGAGAACCCGGCGACGATGCGGGCGGTATCGAGGAGCACCGCCTTCTGCTTCCATTTGAGCTTGGAGCGATCCGTCCCGGAGTCCCAGTCGCCTTAGATGTTTGGAGAGGCTGACTGGGATTAACCCATTCGCAGACACGACTATCGGGATAATTTCGGTCGGCACACCACCCCACATGTCGGTCACCTCGTGAGCCAGGTCCAGATACTTTGTCTTCTTATCTGTTTCGGCTTACACGAGGTTCTCGTCATATGGAATGGTAATGTCGACTAAAAATACCCGCGACTGTGCCCGGTCCATCACCACGATGTCAGGTTTATTATTACCATTATTACATAGACCATATTTTGATAACTTTGTAAACTCCACATATTTTATTATTTGTGTTTTAACATATTTTTTTTATAAATCCATGTATATTATACATGTATATTATTGTTCAAGTACCTAGATGACCGAGCTTTGCTCGGATTTTTGTTCTCACAAAAGAAGGAACCTGACAAAAAAAGGGAAAAAAACCTGATGAAAAAAGTAAAAAACAAATCTGGACTCGAAAGGTCTTTCTCGAGGATTTCGAGGATTGTAATACCACCCGATTACCACCCGAGCTGGCGGTAATTGGGTGGTGGTAAAATTTAAATTGCTTAGTCTAGTTTGGTGAAGCATCAAATAAATAATTTTGTTCACACCAAAGAAAAGATAATTTGTTTTAGTTCATTAATTGTGCATGTTAAATTATATACAATAAATAAACCAAAACAAAATATATTCAAACATATTCAAAATATAATTTCATTAAAATTATATTCATTACAAACAATGTCGGAGAAGAAAGTAATATAAAGAAGAATAAGGTAATATATTTTTCTAATGATTCATTTTACGAAACAGTATTTCACTTCATTTGGTTATTAGATATTCGTAACATTGTTTACATTAATAAATTAAACTTACAAGCGAATGAAATTCATAGAATTCTAAACAAGCCTTTAGGTGGTTCTTTTAGTCTCTGAGAACTGTAATTGGCAATTTATTTTCAAACTGTCTTTCTGATCCTTTTCTTATAACTAAATGAATATTACAAAGTGGGTACTATATTTTAAGAAAACATATACATTCATTAGAATTAGGCACAATATTCCACCACCTGTTAACTGAAAATTGACAATTAGTTGTAAACCTTTAAAAACGTGGGCACGGGTAAGCACCGCGGCCTCATAGAAGAGCAGCGTGAAGTGGTAGTTTAATACGTCTGCCTTTCGTCTTATGAGCGAAGTACCCATGGCCACATTATTAAAGGGTGACAACACATCTGCAACCATACATGGGTGCTGCATATGTCAAGGGGCGGTAATTATCACTCAATATCAGGTCTGCCAAATTCTCACATAAATAAAAGTAAAATCTGTTTTGATGATGCTTTAATAATTTATGTATTTTTTACATTGGTTACATTGGAAGAAGTAACGGTAATATTGAGAAAATAAAGAAGAAAAATATCTTAACAGACAGCTTCAACTGTATGTTCGTATTTATGTTTGTGACTGAAACTTCGAATGCTGTTGTCACACATTTGAAAAGTGTGATAAATTTGAAATTTTTGAACACTTATCAAGGACCGATGACTATATAAATAGTTTAATAAATTACCTACTTCCGGCACGGCGAATCTCTGAAAAAAAAATAATAATACGGGACATGAACGAAAACTTTCGTTGCGTGAAACTGCGTGTTCTGGTCTCGTGCACAAATTATTTAACTATTACTTAGTGTATTAAACAAGCATTCCGAATTCAAAATCAAAAAGTTAATTCTGAGTGATCTATTAAATTAATTTGAATTAACTTTAAGTAAGTAAGTTAATTCAATGACTTGCGTCCAGAAAATTATCACAATTATAAAAGTTGTAATTGATTAAAAGAAACAATTAAAACGTATCTGTATAAAATACACACACCTTCTATTAACTACTAAATAGTTTGAAATTTTCTGTAAAAGGATAGTTTGAAACAAGACAAGTTTTACTTTGATGCGGTCTGGGCTATTTCCTTGTCTTTAATGAAAATTTCCAGTCAGAGTTTCATGAAGAAACCACAGTTTAAAAACTTTTAAATGCTAAATAAAAATGTTTATTATTTGTTTTTAAGCTTGAGCATAATATGGATTAATTATGTAACCCCAAAATTAAACCAAAACAAAAAAACGTAAAATGTTATATATATTTATATATTTTTATTTTTATAGATTTTTCAGAATGTATTTGTTTTTATTCAAGCTTCAATTTTTCTTTTTAAAAGTTTGCGTATTCAGTATATAAATGAGCTTGTAACAATACTCGGACATTGAAAGACATTCTAAAATTTCATGCAGTTTGTGAGTCCATCAGTATTATTTTGCATACTATTAATTTGATAACTCAGTGGCGCAGTTGGTATTGATATCGGAGCCGCGGGTTCAATTCCCCTTGTGTGGGAATCGAACTATTGATGTGAACCACAGATAATTGTTTTTCCTCGTATATGTATGTAAAACGCCCTTACTAAACAGGATAAAGTTATCCTAAAATAATGGAAAAAAAACATTACCAATATTGATTCTGGATATTTCAGGATAACCTGAAATATCCAGAATCAATAAATATAATCGATTTAATGTTCAAGCTGTAATTAATTCGAAAAAAAAAAACATTCCTATATCCTGTTTCAGGAGGAATACCATCACCAAGGTTATTATGATGATTAGAAAAAATATAACATCGAGAAATAAAGTCGCATTGAAAAGATAATACGAAATAATTGATAGCCATGTCTCCCAGCGCATTCTGGCGACATTCCAAGATTTCAAGGCAGAATCAGCTGTTATGAACGGACTGTAACGTGCTTGCTTAGTTTAATTGCATCATTGTGAAATTACTGTACCAGCGTGCTTAGACACTAACTCTTCAGTTAAACTTTAAATATCGTAATAACATAAATGCAATTATAAATAAGCTATTATAACCATTCAATAAATTTAAAAGTTTATCTAATTTTATTACCCTTTATGTGTGTGTTATTTCACATTTATATTAATATGGCATAGCCTAACTACATATAGCTTTATTATATCCGTACTCAAATTATAGAGTATTCGTTCTAAATGCTTACAACTCATCAGGTAAGGTAAAGTTTATGCGGAAAAGAAAGCATTTAATTGTTGTTAGTGTTAAAATGTAAATCTTTTTTTTATTATTACTGTACAATTATCGTAATAAAATATATCTACCTATTTTATTTTTATCAATGGCTGAAACATGTTGCGTGCATAAATAAATCATGTATTGAAGAAGGCGAACTTGTCAGATGCAAAATTATAAAGTAGACTTTTTTTATTTACTTATTATTCAAAACGTCAAAAGCCTTTTTATACAGGTCCAACAATGAATAAAACCCTCATTAAACCTTTTTTATTTTATTAATATGTAACCAAACGAATGAAATATAAACATAATTTGTATATAAATGTAAAAAACTTTTTATAATTTAGTAACATCCTGATAAAACTGTGGTAGTGGTACTACCACAGTTTTACCTTGTTCCGTCAAAAGGAAGTGCCACGAACTCACAGAAGCCCGGCGTGAAGAGAAAGTGTTATGGTTCTGCGTTTCGTCTGGTGAGTGAGGTAACCGGAGTCCTTTAAAAACATATTTCATATCACTATTGGAGTATTGGTCGCACATTTTACGAATCTAAAATATAAAAACTCAGAAAAAATTAAAAGCTATAACTAAAATTATCACCACATTGAGATAACCAAAGCAACAATGCATCTTCAAAAAAACTAAATATGGAAGGGATTTTGTTTTATTCCAAATTAACGGCAATAGTGTAAGACAGGCCTCACTTATCACTGGCAAAGTGAGAACATTTTTTTTTTCTGAGAAAGTGGCAAACGAGCTGGCGGTTCACCTGATGTTAAGTGATAACCACCGCACATGAACATTTGCAATACCCGTACGGTTGCAAATGCGTTGCTACCGTTAAATAAAGTGGGCCCCGGCTACCTCACTTACCAGACGAACCGCAGAAGTGTAACACTTCTACTGTGTTCTGTCTTCTGTGAGGTGGTGGTACTTACCCGGACGGACCTGCCCATTGAAGCAACAGTGTTGCTTGGCCCTGCCACCGTAAATGGAAACATTAACAACGCCAGAGATGTCGCAAATGTGTTATTTTTGATTGAAAGATTCGGCCTCCATAGAGATACTGTAACGAGCTAAGAATTTCGGTTCCACATAGAGTGGCTGTTATAGTTAACCCGGAAAGCGCGATAGAGTATCCCAAAACATAGTGCATGAGAGGCACAACTATGGTATAGGTCAGAAATCGAATCTTCTTCATCTGTTGTCCGCTTCTTATTTCTTATTATTTGTTTTTCTGTTGTCTGGAAACAGGAAAAATTACCTTATTAATCGAGTATGTTGAAAAATGTTAGCAACATAAGCGGAATGTACAGCAAATAATTTTAATAAATAAAAAAGTTAATAAATGTAATGATTTATAACGTAATATAAAAATTAAATATAGCTAATTAAACATTAAAAAAACTAGACAATGGAGATACTATTGTCTTCACTTATTTTTCTTTGTCTAAATATTGGAAGACATTAATGTATACAATTTTTTATACTGAATTGAAAGATACAGACGAGAAGAAAAACTATAAAAAATATATGAAATTGAGATCATTTAATTATAACAAATCTTAAACGATTAAATAATCCACACCTTTAGTTAGGAGGAGCTTAGTTAACGTTGCAAAAGGAGCATCAATTGTAACTGTTACCACAAAAGCTATAATCGTCGTTATGAATAAGAATGCTGTTGTGTCGAAAATCTGAAAATAATTAATCTGAAATTAGAACAAAGAGTAAAATAGAGGTATCCGTCTGATGTTTTAAAATCAAATTCACGACATTGTAGCCACTGAGCCAAACAACTTATCTTCACACCGCCGAAAATCTAAATGTGTTTTATGTACTTTGTTCATACTACGTTCTAAACAGTTTTGACGACTTGTAGTGTGTTTCCTGTACAGTGAACTAATAAATTTCATAATAATCATCATCTTTACTATTTAAAATCTGGATGACACCTTTGCTATGAAAATTGTTAAAGGGTAATAATTCAGTAATCCCAATATTAATGGAAAAATACTCGATCCTTATTCTTCTGACATCGAGACAGGTGTTCCGTTCTGTTATTAATTCAATCATAAAAATATTAAAGAATTTATTACAAACAATTAAGTGATTTATCATAAGATGACACAATATAAAATTTTAATTATTTAAGAGATATTTTTGAACACTTACGAGTTTTGGAATGGAGAAGTAGGGTTGAACACTTGATGAGGAATTCATCGCTAAAATTAATGAATAATGTATTAAATATACTGCATATGACAACCGGGCCGGTAATTTCCAAATGCTAAGCGACAAAAACCAATTGATAGGACCTAAAAATGGAAATAATATATTTTTAAGGCTTTAAACTCTTATTAATATAATTATATAATAAAAAAATATATAATACAATAATAGTACTCAGTAACGTAAGTGATAATTAAATTATAAAGTTTCATTTTTTAAAACAAATATATCAATACCTCCATATCCTTTAACACAGGCGAATATCAACCATCCAAGGCCAAGAGCCCACGCAGGTCTCATATAAGAGTTTAGTAAATTATCAGCTAACTGATTATCCCAACCATCTCGGAAATTTAAAGGCACACAGTATATTACACCAGCGAGAACTAGCAATGCGAAAGTCCAAGTGGTTAATAAAATTGCCTGTAAAAGAAATAATGACCAATATTTAGATTGATTCTGCTTAAACGCTTATCTGTGATTTATCCTACACCAAGAACTTATGAATTAATGAATGAATGAATTATCTAATTAGGAATATATTAGGTTACGCATGTATTAGGTTACGTTATGTAATATTAATAATATCTTCAATTATATTAAATTATTTTTATTTATATACCCTTCCCGTATGCATTACACTTATCGACATTGACATTCCGCTTCGTGCTTCCACACGGAACGGACGTTACTCTGAGCCGGAGGGCCTATGCCAACCGACCCGGAAGCCATTTTGCAACCGTTGTTGCTACTTATATTATTTCTTTTATCTCTTGGTGTGCACTGCTTGCCTCATCGTTGTCGTGTTTCGCGGTCTACGGTTAGGGAAGTCTCAAGCAAGAAGAGTGAAGAAAAGTTATAGAAGAAAGAAGAAGAAAACATTATAGAAGAACGAAGAAACTTTGCCCGACTTCCGAGCGGATAGAGTTAGTGTAGTGTTGTGCTCGTAGGCAGGTTCCTGTCCGTAAGTAGAATTCTACACACATTTCTCGTCTCAGAAGCGGCATTGTAATTTTTACCTGTGTGCTTGTTGCACTAGGCGACAGCTAGGTACTCACCCTAGCGCACCTAAAGCGCAGGCGATTAAAGGTTAATTTTAGGCACACACCTCCCTGCCGCAAGGTGGGGAGGCCTATTTAGAAAACCACACGCCGGCGGGGCGCAAGCCCCAAAGGCTCAAGCGTCGACATGGGTTCCCTCATAGAGGAATTCCTGCGTAAAGAATGCCCCGAATTATGGGTAAAATATTTGAATTTCGCGAGGGAACGACGCATCGTCGTCGAATTCTCTAGCGACAGTCCGGCTACACCGGCTGCCGCCTCGCCGTCATCTCCGGTGCCCTCTGCGCCAGTCATCGAGTCGCCCTTTGCGACAATTGATACGCCCGTCGCGTCGACTTCCGCCGCCGCGAACGAACCCAACGCGCCTTCCGCGCAAACCATTTCGGCCCCCTTCCGCACTGTCGTTCCCGACTCACAATCGGACGGCAGTTCAGACATGGAGGTCGAAACGACCCCCGCTAACAACGCGAACGCCGACGGCTTCACCGTCGTTAAATCGCGAAAAAAGGGCAAGAAACGCCCCGCTACGGACCGCGAAAGCGAGGCCGCCCCGTCAAACCGTCCCACCGCGACGCCCGCCAAAAAGGCAGCCGCGACTGCCCAGTCGGAACCGACATTCGCCTCCGAGCGAAAAATCAAGCCACCGCCGCCAATTATAATCCAAGAAAAGGCAAAGTGGCATCAGATATGTTCATGGTTTGAACGCCATAACATACGAGACCCCCGGTCCAAGAATACGCATATGGGTATCCGCATATACCTCGATTCTTCGGACGATTTCCGCCGCGTAACGAAATACTTGCGCGAAGCTAAGGTAGGTTTCCACACCTACTCACTACCCGAAGAGCGTAAACTTCGGGTCGTAATTAAAGGCGTCCCAAAAGAGTCGGATGTCGATATGGCTAAGGTCGACATCCGCACTCAGGGATACCCTGTTCACGCCGTGCGTCGTCTCAGGCACCCTCGCACCCGTGTCCCTATGGACATGGTCATGGTGGAACTTGACCCTACCCCGGAAGGTAAGGCCATTTTCAACCTTAAGAGGGTCTGTGGGCTCAGTGACTTAGTCATCGAGCCCCCACGTAAATCAGGTGTTGTGGCATAGTGCCACAACTGTCAACATTTTGGCCACACGGCCAACAACTGCTTCGCTCACCCAAGGTGCGTCAAATGCACCGGTGACCACGGCACAACCGAGTGCACGAGGCCGAAAGATTGCGCAGATCCACCGGACAAACCCAAGGAAAGCGTCAATTGCACCGGTGACCACGGCCAAACCGAGTGCACTATAGCCGAAAGATTCGCATATTGTTCCTCGGTAGGAAGGAGGTATGGAAACTGCGTAAACTGTCACACTACCGGCCATCCGGCTAGTTATAGAGGCTGCGCTAAGGCCCCGAAAACTCCCGCGAGAAAATCTCCCGCGAAGTCTACGTTGCCCAAACCCGCGCCCGTTAAATACATTCTCGCGCCCGCGTCATTACTTAGACCCATAAAAACACCTTAATGGGAAGTACAACCGCAGGTAGAACAAAACCTCAGGCTCTGGTTGTTTCGTATTTCAACGCAAACGGCATAAAGGGTCAAAGGGATGAAATCGCGGAATTCCTTCGCGATTATAACGTAGATATTTTCCGAATGCAAGAGACATTCTTGAAACCAAGTGTACGCGATCCCAGAATCGCAAATTACAATATTATCCGCCACGACCGGTTAGCAAACCGTCTGGGAGGCACACTAATTTATTATAAACGGTCCTTGCAATGTTGCCCGCTCGACATTCCAGAGCTAAGTCAAATAGAGGCATCCGCGTGTAGGTTAGCGCTCACCGGCCACAGGCCGCTTGTACTAGTCTCAGTCTACCTCTCGGGGAATAGAACCCTACTTCAAAGCGACCTAGATACGCTTCTTAACTGAGGCCCTTCCGTGATAATTGCAGGAGATCTAAACTGCAAACACGGCTCATGGGACACCAACAGCATCCCAAATAACAACGGAAAGCATCTCTTTAGCTTATCCGATAACCTAAATTTTAGTATAGTCGCTCCCGCGACTCTCACTAGGTATCCTACGGTGGACAACTACCAGCACGCGTCACCGAGTGACCTAGACATAATGTTATTCAGGGAGGTCTCGCTCGACATCGAGTCGATAGAGACAATCCATGAACTAGACTCAAACCACAGGCCCGTCCTGTGTAAACTGGGCCAGAACGCCGGCGCGGTCCCTCCGAACAAATCCGTAGTGGACTGGCATCGTCTTGAGGTCAAACTCAAGGCCTTGGACCCCCAGGACTTAGTAGACTTACCCGAGACGATAGCTACGTTCGATGACGCAAATCGAGCGATAGCGAGTCTCCGCGAAACTATTACTTCCGCAGTCTCAGACTCGGAACGGACGGTGAAACTGTCGGGCGACCGACGGTTTAACTTTCCGCCCGACCTACGACTGCTAATTAGACAGAAAAATGCAGCCAAACGCGCCTTCGACCGATACCGATCGGAATCGAACCGAACCCTACTTCGACGCCTTGAGCTAGAAGTCAAAGATCGAGTATCGGAACACCGACACACAACGTGGGACACTCTCCTAGAGGACATCGAGCCATCGCACACCGCCTACTGGCGGTTGGCCCGCAGTCTGAAAGCAGACCCCCGCGAATCTCTACCGCCGTTAGTTAGACCTAATAGCGCTTCAGTAGCCCTAGATGTCTCCGCAAAAGCCGAATGCCTTGCAGACAACCTAGAGCAGCAATGTACGCCATCGCGCGAACACACCGATTCAGTCCACCTAACGGAGGTGGACCGCGTAATCGAGACTAGGGCTGCGCTTCCACCGGAAGGCGAACCTTTAAATTCAGTGACCCCCGAAGAGGTCCAAGATATTATTAAAAATTTAAAACCAAAATCCGCCCCAGGCCCAGATAATATAAGTAATAAGATTCTCAAAGCTCTCCCTGGGCCGCTTATCTGTTTACTGGCGACCATTTTCAATACCCTTCTCTCCAGTTGCTCCTTTCCGGACGACTGGAAGCAAGCCATGGTTATCGGCATTCGCAAGCCGAATAAACCAGCCAATCAGCCCTCTAGCTATTGGCTGGTTATTATACCGCCTAACGGGCTCATTAAACTAAACACATTAGTACAGGGGCTCTCTTCTTCGATGTCGCAAAAGCATTCGACAAAGTCTGGCACAACGGCTTGCTTTACAAGCTGTACACACTCAAAGTGCCAGATAGGCTCGTACACACCATACGGGCCTTTTTGTTGAACCGCTCTTTTCGATATCGAGTCGAGGGCACCCTCTCCACAAGCCGCCGCCTCACGGCCGGCGTACCACAAGGCTCCTGCCTCTCACCCTTGCTATTTACGCTCTACACGAGCGACATACCTAGAGACCCCCACGTCAATCTCGCGCTTTTCGCGGATGACACGGCGCTCTTTTACTCAGACCGCAACCTCAGTCAATTAACGACTCGACTCCAAAGCGCTGCCGACCGCCTCGGCGATTGGTTCTGCAAATGGAGAATCGATATTAATCCAGAAAAAAGTGTGGCGATTCACTTCACTCGTAGCACCCCCAACCCCCATCCGCCACACCGTTACAAAGATCCTCGCCAATACAGAAAGTTGGGGCAAATATCATTATATGGCCAAACTCTCCCCTGGGAGAAAACGGTCTAATATTTAGGAGTCACTTTCGACTCGCGTATGACTTTTACTACGCACATCAATCAAGTCCGAAATAAAGCCGCGTTCGTCTCCGGCCGGCTACACAATTTAACGAATAAGCAAAGTAAAATGCCCTTAAGGCACAAATTACTCTTATATAAAGCTTGCGTAAGGCCAATCATGTCCTACGCATGCATGATCTTCGCACACATAAATCCTACGCGCATTAACTTGCAAGTAGTTCAAAGTAAGTTTATCCGCCGCGCAACCGGTGCGCAATGGTATCAGCGCAACGTCGACCTGCACAGCGATTGCAGACTCCCGACGATTCGCGCACATTTTAAAGATTTGACAAAACGGTTCTTCGATAGAGCCCAGCATCATCCCAACCCTCTGGTGGGTATGCGCAGCAAACTACCAACCGGACACAAACGCGAACGTAAATAAGCGTCGCCCGCGAAACGTCCTCATCGACCCGGTCGACGAAGAGGACTTAGATACGATGGACCCACCGCCGGGGGTCCCGCCGGATAACACTACACCCACAGTTAGTGTAACAACAATCACACCAGTTCGCCCTCGCCTCCAAGCACGGCGAGACCCACACAACGCGTACACAAGGTACACCCGCGTTCCGGGGCGGTTCTCACCGCTCCCAGCCACCGATTACCTAAATGCACAGTCGACGGCCGTCGGGGTCTCGGTCCGAACCGGCGACCTCGACGGCCCTTAGATGACACACCATAGTAGTTAAACGCACGCATGAGCACATGCGCGACCCTACCCATAGCGGAGGGTCCAAACCCGTGGGTTCTGGCTAGCCCACCGGTTCTGCGTCCGATGAAGCTTTAATAGTCTCGGGACTGAAAGCAAAAACATCAGTTAATACAAGATACAAGATTACACTTATCATTACGATTAATTCGGTTGTGGCCTATGGAATTGTCTAAGAGTCGATAGAATATTGTAAACACTTTAATATAATGAGCTATAGATATCAATTAGGTGATTACATTGTCATCTTTTTTTTAAATTTAAAAACACTTTTCAAACTCAATTATGGATCGAAAAATAACAGACGGTGATATGAAGAAAATTAATGTTACCTTAGGAATATGTGGATATTTTCCTTTACATAAGTGTAGTATGTATCCAAATATCATTCCAACTAAAAACGGAGAAGCACGAGTAAGTGTATTTGAATAATAGTAAGCAAAATACCTTTCCAGCTCATGAACGCTGAAAAATGAAACAATATTATGCTTATTGCCGCCTTGTAATAAAAAAGGAAAAACATCAATGACAAGATAAATAAAAGTTTTAAATATGAATTGGTATGAATAAACTACTTCTAAAAGCATTTTGTTTCAATAAAGAGTAGAGTGATACGCATTTTAAATATCAAGTCTTTACCTATGAAATTGTCGTTTAGTATGAGATTAGTTAAAATATTTTTATACATTTTTTTTAATTTCTGTCGCTCAAAGTAATCACCCAAATAATCAATGCATCTTTGCCAACGCAGTAGTAGTTTATTGATGCCCTTCTTTTAAAGATCAGCTGGGCGGGAGGCAAAAAGCTCTTCAAAAGCATTTTGTACTGCACCTCGGGAATTGAATTTTTTCCCGCTAAAAAGCTGTCCAAATTTAAGAATAAGTAATAATCGTTAGGTGCAAGGTCTGGTGAGTATGGTGGACGAGGGACTGCTTCCAAAACCAACTATGGCAGCTTGGAGACTATCTGTTGTGAAGTATGGCGACGCGCGGTGTTGTGAAGGAGCAGGGGGTCGCCCCTGCTCCTTCACAACACGGCCGTCGGGCCGATTGACCAAAACTGGTTGCAGATGTGCAAGCTTCTCCATCATTGTCCTCAGTACATATCTGCAGTAATGCTCATGTTGTTTTGTAAAAAGCTGTGATGAATCACATCGGCACAAGACCAGCAAAATGTGACCATCACCTTACTAGGGATTATTTTTCGTTTAGGTCATTCATGATTGCTTAGATGTTTACTAAGCTTTCACTTTCGATTGTCGAACATTTCCATTTTTTGTCGCACGTAACAATTTTGTTCAAAATTCCTTCATGCCTGTTGAGCAAGCAGGCAGCGCAAGGCAGGACTCAACGCGTACTTTGCGCTGGTAATCGTGAAGTTCATTCGGCACCTTTTTTGCCAATTCGTTGCAAATGGACCAATATTGTTTTGATGCATCAAAAGTTGCTGTTAGCACGGCTGTAGATTGAGTATCATCAACTTTAACAATGCCTTTAATTCATCATCGTTGACTGGTGTCCGGACGATCACGAGGTTCATTATACAAGTCGAAATTTCCAGAACGGAAACGGGCAAACCAATAACGAGTTGTACGTTCGTTTCTTAAGTTCTCTCCGTAAACGTTGTTGATATAACGTGCCGTTTGTGCATTATGACGCAAAATGCACATCAATAAACACAAAACTGACTTTGTAAAAAGAACCTCGTGTTTTAAAACGAAATCTTTTTTTTGTTTGAAATGGTCAGTACTGAGGAACGGCCAATTTCATAGGTAAATACCTATTATATGTTCCCATTAGAACTTTCTAAATGCGAAAGACAAAGATAAACAAAGTCGGCATCAACAAAATTGAAAAAAAAATTAAATGAAACTACTTTACGGATTTTATCGCGTTTTTTTTTTTTTTATTTTAATTTAAATTCCCGAGTTGTTGACAACTACAGTTGTTGACAGTAGTCTGTCCCGTGACCATGAACGCTGGAAAGGGTTCGAAACGTCGGGAATTTAAATTAAAATAAAAAAAAACGCGATAAAATCCGTAAAGTAGTTTCATTTAATATGTATAATATTCGCGTAAAATCAAGAAAACAATATGAAAAAAAAATGTTTTTACAACTTGGTTATATGAATAAAATATGTCATGGTAGTCATTTTATTCTTATGGATGTCTTAGTCTGAGCTAATAATTTATTAATGAAAATGGGATTTATCCGGAAACGCGAATTTAATTTGGCGAATGTACGAAAAATTCAGAAAGGTACGAAAGATACACAGAAACTCAGCTAGCATTGCAGACGCCTTTCCTAGAATTTTGTAGAGCTATAATTATTATGGTACTTATTATGAAAACACTTACTTGTTTGCAAATAAGCCAGAACCAAAATCATTTATAAAATTATATATAGAAGCAGCTACGAGTGTAATTAAAAAGCCGGCTATCAATGCAGTCCATGCAATATTTTTCTTCCCAGTCAAAACCCAAACTAGGATAATAGGTGACAGTATATGCAATTGAACATCCACAGATAAATACCATGAGACTGCAAGACACTGAAATTAAAAGTGTAAGCTCCAATCATCATAGTAACAATTCATTAGTTACCTACACTTTTTGCTTTTAAAAAGGCCGATATCTAAGGATAAAATTTCGATACGAAAATGTGATATAAATTGACTCACTTCAATTGATAGAAATAAAGTAATAAAATCTAACAATAAAAATATGATACACATCAAGAAATCGTTTACTAAACTGAGGTTGCGGGGAAGAAATTGCTGTGTAGCAATAATGTCTCCTTTTGACAACCAATGTTTGTTAAATATTTTGTTTTTTGAAATTTTTTTGGTGTACAATAGAGTATTATAATATCATTATTATTAAATTACACAGGAACTGAATACAGTTTCAAGTAGTTTACTCCAATTCCACTTAAATATTTATCGTTCCGATAAAACTCATTGCTATTCAAACTTTAGTTCGCTTTATTTCATTATACTCGAGCAACCTAAGCTCACACTCCGGTGCCGGCTGGCATCAATGAAATTTTTAATTGTAATTTTAAGTAGGTATGTAGTTCTATAGTGATTTTTAAAGCACTGTGGAGTGCGAGTGGGGTAAAGGAAAATAGTGTGAGGAAACCTGTAATTTTTTTGAATGTAAAAGTAAAGTAAACCTATATAAGTCCCACTAATGGGCAAAGGCTCATTTCACCATTCGTTTCGGCTCTGCGATTAGTATATTTAATTAAAAGCGGGCGCCAGGACACTAAAGCAGTGATACTGCTTTCTCTCGAAATGAAAAAAGAAACCTTTTTTGAAGATATGTGAAGTCTGATGATCTGCAGTGGGATCGCGTTGTTTGCTATGCCGTAATACCCCCTGTACGTAGGAGTTCTTTGCCCTGTAGTCGGACTTATGTAGGTTTTTACTTTACTTTGGTAGGACCACGCAGCAGCCTCGGCTGTTGCACGAATCGGAGCTCAATTTTCAAAAGGTTGTTAACGCATCTACAAACCCTTGGGTGTAGCAGATGTCCATGGGCGGTGGTATTCACTTAACATCAGGTGAACCATCTGCTAGCTTGGCAAATTTTCACATAAAAAAAATACTTTTTGTTAAATAATTTGTAAAGAGTAAGAGTTTTGGTCGAGCCAATTAAGTACTTACGGCATGTAATGGATTATATAAATTTTGTATATGCAGCAATGCTGACCACCAATATTGCCTGCAGTTGAGTATTGGCGTAACCATATCATTCCATTTTGGACCATCTAGCACCCGATTCAGAAAAGATGCCTCGTAAAGAATCATCGCAGCGAGTATCGGAAACATACGAAGGAGCCGATTTAAATAGAATAAATGTATGTTTTTCAAGAGTTGCACTGTAATAAAGATAACATTTAAAATTTATTATTAGGCCATTCAGCTTAAAAAACTAATTAAAAAAATGGCAAATTTTGTTCAGCTTTTAAGTTTTTATTCGTACTTCTTCATCTCACACTGGATTAAATATGCCAATCGAATGAGGACACCATAAATATACGAAATAAAAAGAATTTAATCTACGTAAATATTCATCAAATCAATAAAGAGATAGCCTAGTTTAATTAAAAATTTATACTTTATCAATTTGTTTGTGGTAGATTTCTTCGATATTTAAATTGTTGTATTTATTTAATAAAGGGATTTTGCGGTACCACATGTCACCTTAACATCCTTCTTTATAGCCTTTGTTTTTTCAGCCGCTCACTAAGATAGTATCATGTTTTGTCGATAAGCTCAGATTCACGGGTTTTTATTTAACACTCTTTGACCTGTGGTTCTGCTAAACGGTCATTGAAGGAACAGCACTTTTTGTTTTACTTTGAAGGGGTTTTGTCCAGCTTCTACACTGTTTAGATCGCGATCAGATGGTGTCCGCACCGTACGGAGTTAGACAACAGCTTAAAAATCAAAAGGCAAAAATCGTTTGCAAGGGCAATATTTTAAGGAAGTTTAAAGACGCGGTTGGCGCATAACCGAAGCAGTGCAGCATAAAAACCGCGATTGTCTTCTGCGTCGAATTCATTTTATTAATGAAACAAATCAAATTTATTTCTTTTTTAAAGATCCGACCACTATTCGAAATTGAAATTAAAATTAAATATAATGTGGCAGAACTTGTGAACTTACTTATTATAAGAGAAGCAGCATCAAAGGAAACAAAAATCTAAACCAAACCTCCTGCAGACTAGATATCTTATTTTGTATGTGTAGTATCTTTTTTTAGCACTTTCATTTAGTTTCATACTTTATAGGGCACGGAGTTATTCTGTTTACGTATCCTAAATTTTTTCAAAAGTATTACCTATCGCAAAATTAAAAATATTGTTGTTCATCAAAACATATGAATTTTACTGGGTTTTTCTCACATTTAGAGCAATATCGTTGCCTGCCTGCAATGATCGTTTTTTTTATCGTATTTATATTGGTTTGAAAAAGTACTTACTGCTAGAAAGTTTACCGGCTGTAGAGTAAACAATAAGTAAACCACTTAACATGAAAAACGTGTCGACGGTAATAGTTGCGGAAGTAACCCACATAGCCCTAGTTGTAGTAGCCCACTGTAACAATAATTTACATACAACTTCAGTCCGCAGTTACATCAGACTGCGCTCGGGTCTCAACATAACGTATATCCTGTCAAGACATTTATGTTTCAATACTGATGAAGAATCATCTTAATTATACGATTACTTGGCAATAAATAAAATATTTTTAGATTTTTTTTGTCTGGATCAACCACTGTGCGCTTTGAGAAACTTTACACCTGTATCTCGATTTACATCTAGATATGTTATTTTTAAACAATTGGCTTTCTAGCACTGCAGTTAACTACCGCATGATAAGTAAGCTGGTATAAATAAAAAAAAAAACAAATTCCCCAGTACTATATAACTTGTTGGCTGTAAAGTTTTCGAAACATCGCGATTTCAAATGGCTTATTAAACTACATATAGTATTTAATGTGTAATATTCGTAATAAATAAATAAAAATATGTGTATATTTATGTACGCACGTAATAAATAACACTTCTTTAGGGTATCAAAAAGAAATAACTAAGAATTTTTCCTTAAAATTGGTATGGCAACCATTATAATTTAATATCGAGAAGTTGATCACTTTGCATTCAACTTCATCCTTTCGATTTTTGTCTGTCGGTGTGCGAGCGCATCGTACAAATTTTACTCACATATTTTTTCCAAACGCGCAAAAAGACGTACAACTTCTAAAAATAAGCAGTAATAGGTCACCAAATCAATGATAAAACACGTGGCATTAGATTGTCAGTGACTCGAATCTATGAATTTTTCTCATCCAAAATTGGCCAACGTGTCTATAGAAATTTTCACCTCAAAAATATATTTAATGTTAGTTGTTTTATCTGCTATCAAGTATACAAATAGTTTTAATATTTTAACGGCAATTGTTAACGTCATTTTATAACACACCTGAAATGTTTCGAGTACGTTAACGCTGGATATCATCGATAGAAAAGTGTGACCCAGAACAACCCAAAACATGGCCAGCGCTCTGATACCGTCTATACAATGCAACGGTTCAGCACCTGGTTTAAAAGTTACTAAGCGCCGTGTATTAGTGTACACGGAGAAACAACTGTAAATTGTCCTTATTCCTGTATCTGAAATCACAATAAGTAGTTTATCGACATACAATGATAAGCTGTCATCAACCGGCGATTGCAAATAACATTGCAAATAATTATAGGCCACCGGACTTTGAACGAGTGAACTAACAGTACGTACATACCTTTCCTTTAGGCTAAGTTTAGATATGTTTATTACTTTTAGTAATAAAGCCGCCCATTGTGAATCATTTAAACTTTAAAGTTTTTGTTTTTTTATTTTTTATTTTGGTGTGCAATAAAGAATATTAATATTATTATTATATGTTACATTTAATTTTTTTTAATGTGAAAAGTTGCCAAGCGGGCAGACGGTTCACCTGATGTTAAGTGAATACCACCGCCCATGGACATCTGCTACACACGAGGGTTTCACATGCGTTGACAACCTTTTGAAAATTGGGCTCCAGCCACCATACTCACCAGACGAAACGCGAAAGTATTATACTTACACTTTACGCCGGTCTTCTGTGAGGTCGTGGTACTTACCCGGACGAGCCTGCCCGTTCGTGCAACAGCAGAAGCTGCTGCGTGACCCTACCACTGAAATGTAAATCACCGAAAGTAGCAATATTTCTAATTTACTAGTATCTCCAATACTTTACCTTTTTTGGAAATAAATGCGTTCCAAACATCAAAACATGTACTAAGTGTTACAATAAATAGGATCGATGAAAATATTATTCTGAAATGAAAAATACATGATAATATATTATACTAGCGCCCCGCTCTGGCTTCGCATGGTTGCATATAAACCTTCCTCTTGATTCACTCTATCTAGTAAAAAGAACAGTATCAAGATCCGTTGCATAGTTTTAAAGATCTAAGCATACATAGCGCCAGACAGGCAGCGGGACGAATTTGTTTTATACTATGGAGTGATTAAAATCATATTTTTTTGTATTTTAGTAATGCAGATCAATAGTGTATTTCTATTTATTTATTAAATCATTTAAATCGGATTTTAATCAGAGCATCAGCAGAATTTATGTTTTAGGGTTCCGTACCCAAAGGGTAAAACGGGACGCTATTACTATGACTTCGCTTTCCGTCTGTCACCAAGCATATCGTGAACCGTGATAGTAAAACACTTGAAATTTTCACAGGTGAAGTATTTCTATTGCCACTATAACAAATTCTAAAAAACAGACTAAAATGTTTAAGTGAAGCTTCCATTCAGCAAAAATGATTTTTGCTGTTTTTATCGATAACTAGCTGTTACCTGCGACTACGTCTGTGTAAAATAGGCTGAATGCGTAACATTCAGACAGAAAGACAGATAGATATACATAGAAATATGTATATAAATTATAGCCTATGTGTTATTGTGTTGTATAAGCTATATTATTGTAAAGTTTCATTCAGTAATATTTGCGTGAATGAGTAACAAACATCCATCAACAGATGGTACGGAACTATCTGTTAAAATAAGATAGATAAACAAAGATAAAAATTGTGATTTGAAGAATAATAGATTAAATTTTGTAGTAAAATTACTTACATTGCTATATAATCGGACGGTGCCCACGGCTTGTCGTTTGGCAGGCGGCAAAACTGCTCTTCCAAATTTATATTGTACTCAGTAATGTTAAAGAACAGTGCCTCAACAGCTTCACGTGGCGTACAAGATTCTGGTACGCAAATAGCCAAACGCAAATTTATATTTGACAAAGGAGTCCTGCCCGAACTGATCCTGTATACGCCACAATTAATCTAATTTTAGTTTTCTTTTATTTTATTTGTATATTTATTTATTTAAAAGCTTCTAGTACTCTACCAGTAATCCAACAAATAAATACAGAAAATAAGGGGGTGTGAGAGAGCTAAATGTGAAGTACTAAAAATATTGCTAGTTACACGTACATAATATACGTAAAAATATAAATATACGAGTATATTATTATATTACTAAGGCAATAAACTTTACAAATTCCAGCACTATGAATTTGAACATAAAACTAACCTGGTATCATGACTCTGCATCCCAAAAACTGCTTGTAAACGTTTTTCTAAACGTTCGTATATAGTAAACCGATTAAAGTCATCTTTTTCTAAATCTACAAACGGCCTTTCCAAAAATAACATCAGCGTGCTCTGGTTTAATGATACGTGTACCATGCAGTATTTTCCCTGAACATTCATGTCTTCTACATACTCAAGGATATTCAAACATTGGTGATAATTGCCTAAGTCAAGTGTATTTCCTAATAAAATTGCCCTTGGAATCCTCGCACTGGCATCAAGAACTGAAATCATTTATAAAAAAAAGTATAACGTATTGAAGCCACCGTGATAAAAACTGGTCTTATAATGTTAAGTTAGGATTAGAAACAGATTGATGTAGACGTTTAAAAGATATCTATTTTCAGAGTTGCTACTCACAGATATATTTATACATGCTTTCTTGCTCAGCCCACCTAACCATAAAATCACTATAGCCTTGTCAATATCCTGTTTTCGAAAGCAAGTTCATCAATTGAAAAGCCAAAGCAATAGCAAAAGTAACCAATAATCTCTTAATTAATATATCTGTGTGTCTTAATCATCTGTCTTAATTAATATATCAAGAGCAAGGTTTATGTGTATAATACATTGCACCCATGCGAAGCCAGGGCAGGTTGCTAGTATTTTATGCAAATACTTACATCGCATCATCAATACGGTATTATTGACTTTCATGGAGCTCAATTTCCTTTGACACAGCTCTGGATTCAGTACATCTTCATACAGTTTTTTGTCGAACGGGTAATTAGAAAAGTTATGATTCACTTTATTTAATGTAATCCCATTACAAAATTTATGCGTAAACATTGTAAGTAAAATCAGTACGAAAAATAATAATTTAGATATCATTTTATTACTATTTAACTGCTCAGAGTCCCAGTAGAATATGCGTCAGCCTTAGTTGCTCACACTTTTTAAAGTAAAAGCATGCGATTTTGAAAAGCTGGTTTATCTTATCTCCTTCATAAATATTGATATGTTGTTCAAGAAATACTTTGTTATTTATTTTTGTCACGTATCGTATTAACTGATGTTTTTGCTTTCGGTCCCGAGACTATTAAAGCTTCATCTGACGCAGAACCGGTGGGCTAGCCAGAACCCACGGGTTTGGGCCCTCCGCTGTGGGTAGGGCCACGCTTGTGCTCATGCGTGCGTTTAACTATGTGTCATCTAAGGGCCATCGAGGTCGTGGTTCGGACCGAAACCCCGATGGCCGTCGACTGTGCAATTAGCTAATCGGTGGCTGGGGGCGGTGAGAACCGCCCCGGAACGCGGGTGTACCTTGTGTACGCGTTGTGTTGGTCTCGCCGTGCTCGGAGGCGAGGGCGAACTAGTGTGTTTGTTGTTGCACTAACTGTAGGTGTAGTGTTGTCCGGCGGGACCTCCGGCGGTGGGTCCGGTTTTGTCACGTGATTAGAGGAGCATTTTTGAAAAATTATAATCATTCACAAATGTATGTATATGAGGTAAATTGAGTTTCTCTTAAAAAGCCCAGTATCCCAAGTTTTGGATTTTGATGATCATTCGAGTTAGTCCTATCTGTTTTGAAAAATCAGGAAAAAAACAATCTTTATTCTTAAAAAAAATATTTTCGTATTGCTCTTACTATTTATATAACAAATACCTAACATCCCTTTGGTTACCTACGTATAATTTCATTCTTACCTTATCTAATGCTTTTAAGATTTTTAATCAGATTGTGTTTCGCGCCATTTACAGAAAACTATTGTGCCTTATTGTTGTTGAGTAATCCAATCATTTTATTAGTTACCAGTAATAAAATTGAGGACTAAATAATAATTATTATAATATAGTACTAAACTTTATTTTTATATTATACTGCAATATAATATATCTCAACTGCCTTTTAGGATTGTACATGAAACACTAATATTCTCATCAGAAGAACGATAACTTCATGCATTTGAAACACTTACACGACTGCACACTAGTGCTCCAATAGTAGCCAACCCGTGTCGCGTTAATCTACGAAGTGATAAAATGTACTCAAGTACTGAACCACTCTACGATATAACACATAACACTATAATTGTTAGGTGTTGAAGTATGTTGTTTATTATTTTAAATCATGAAGAGAGGACGCCGGATAAAGGGTTCGCTCAGTATGAAAACATGATTTGTCTCTGCTCGTCTCGTAAATAATAATGTTTTGTTTCTTTTTAATGTAATAAGTCACTAAGCGAATAGGTAGATGGCTCAAAGGACAATGGCGAAAAATTGTTGAAAAATTAAAAATAGCATAGATACAGATATAAATATTATAATTTCTTAAGATTTTTCAAATTATAATAAATACCTGTACACTTTAATTTATTTAGGGAAAAATTCATTTATTTTTGGAAACTAAATTGAATAAAAATATCGGCAGTGTATTCGTCAGGATTGTTTGCCGCGCAATTGATGTTACCATATTATAAAATCAAGTCCCATATAGTCCAAGATATTTATAGTAAGTATCCTTAAGGAAAATGTGTTACCTATTTTGGTTAACGTTTTTAACTTCATCACAATAAAATATAACAGCCGTTTAGAATTAATACTCTGTCAGATGGATTTGAATAGAATAACAAAGATGTAATGTGCTACCCTGTAGGTGCTGGAAACTTCTATGGCGTCGTTTGGTTTAACTTTTTTTACAAAGAGCGCAGTCTATTTTATTATAGATTGTTTTTAATATTATTTAAACTCATAGTTACGTATACGAGTAGTTCACCACTAGTATACGACATAACCTTAAAATCTTTAATTCCACACTTCTTTAATGACTTTATGTATGTATGATATATTCAGAACATTAAATTCCATATTTTTGCATATTTTTCGTCTCAAGACGCAAAAATTTGTTCAACAAAAAATTGTATGGGAGTTCGCCATTGTCTTTTGCGGCATTCACCTCACACCGATCTTCTGTGAGGCCATGGCATTGCCAGAAGACCATGCAACAGAAATTAGGGCTTAATACAGTAAAAACAATTAGGTCTAAAAGCCACACCCTCCATAATCGCTAGCGTGGGCGATTGCGTCAGCAACTGACGTTTATAAACACCGCCCTAAGGGTTGAGAGGCTTCCATTAAATCATTTCATTTGCTCCAATTCTCTTTAAATTTTATTTCCTTTCTCTAGTGTAAACTTTCTATTAAAGTTGTTTTTGAGGTCTTGTGACTTATTTCTTGTAGTAATTGTTTTTTGCTAGTGCATATTAAATCTTCCATCTGTCATGTAACCACATTTCATTATATCCCAATATACACCATCCCCGTTCGTTTTGACTAGGAATGAAAGGAACAAATTAAAAACATATTTGTAAATAAATTTAATCTTTTTATGAAACATTACACTGGTTAATACCTTTAAAAATATGTATATTTCATATCACAATTTACGTACATCATATAAATTAGTAACCTACATTAGAAAATTAGGACTAAATATCACCAAAATTGAGATTAACACAAGTATACGAAATAAAACTTAAACAAGAAAGCGCTTTTTTCTCACAGATCTTAAGTCTCATGTTTCTCCGGGTAAATCAGACCATGGTAACACTCAAAACACCAGAGTTGTAACTAACCATTGAAAGATGGGGCCTCCATAAAGATGTTTTTAATAAATCAAGGGATTAGATTCTATTTGGAGTGGTTATATAATCAGCTCTACCGCATAGTAGATTTAGATCACAATTTTTTTTTACACAGAGGTCTAGCAATGATGAAAAAATATCTGCATGAGACGTACAATCACTACATAGTATAAAACAAAGTCGTCACGCTGTCTGTCTGTTCCTATGTATTCTTAGATCTTTGAAACTACGCACCGGAACAGGATGCGTTTTTTTTTTACTAGATAGAGTGATTGAAGAGGAAAGTTTATATGTACAATACATTGTACCCGTGCGAAGCCGGGGCGGGTCGCTAGTTATGATATAAATCCTGAACACAATCACCGATTCCTTTTTATATTTCAGGTCGTTTTTTATACACCTGAATATCGTTTTTCATATCTACTTTATTCGTTTTTATGTTATCTGAAAAAAGGTAAAATATCATTATTAATAAAATATGTTGAAAATTGTTAGCATCACTTGCGGAACGCACAGCAACTTCTTCTAGAATTACTCTCAAAAGGTTTTAAAATACATTTTAATTTATTCTTACAACTCGTTTATATGTTTTAGTCCAGTAAATATGTATGTACAAACAGTAAACTACGTGTCTTTCAATAGTTACAAAATCAATGAAGATGTTTTTAGATACAACATCGTTTTTTCCACGAAACATGTTATAAATCATTATGTATGAAAACTTTTTGTATTTTCTACATAAACATTTCACAATGATATAATCCATACCTTTAATTAAGAGGAGCTTCGTTAAAGTTGAAAAGGGAGCATCTATTGTAACTGTTATCACAAAAGCTATAATTGTCGTTATAAATAAGAATGCTGATGCGTCGAAAATCTGTAAATAGTAAAACTAAAATTAGAATAAATTGAAGCATCTGTCTGTGATTTCAAAACGAATGCCACTAAAACTTTTGAGAAAACTGATAGTTATAGGACGCCTAAACATAAAGACCGCTTTGCATTCCATGTCTGTTTCTTCTTTCTTTCACCTGCCTACGTCTGTGGAGTCAACACGTGATAGTCATGTTTCGAAACAGCCCATTTGTCCCCGGTTATGGGTATCGAACCTTGGCGGTGACAATTATTGAAGAGATGTTTTTGAATACTTACAAGTTTTGGTACAGAGAAGAAGGATTGAACACTTGATGAAGAATTCACTGCTAAAATTAATGTAAAATGTACTAAATATACAGCGTACGACAAACGGGCTGGTAATTTCCAAATGCTTAGCGACAAAAACCAGTTGATAGGACCTGAAAATTAAAATAATAATTTTATATTTTAATTAGACATTAGCTTTCTAATCCTTACATTATAAACGAGTAACGTGAGTGATGAATAATTGAATTTAAATTTATAAAAAAAAATATAAATTTTATTGACTTCATTAATCCAACTATTACCTCCATAACCTTTAGCGCAGGCGAATTTCAGCCATCCAAGGCCTAGAGCCCAGGCAGGTCTCATATAAGAGTTTATTAAATTATCAACTAACTGATTATCCCAATCATGTCGCATATGTAAGGGCACGCAATAAACCACACCACCGAGAACTAGCAATGCCACGCACCAAGTTGTTAGTATAATCGCCTGTAACAGAAGTAACAAACAACATTTTGTTAATTTTATGTTTAAAAGGTTTAGCTGTGATATGCGAGAGTTTATTTATTTACACTTTATGCACAATCTAGTACAAAGGCGGACTTAATGCCAAAGGCATTCAGAGTTTATCTATGTATCCATTTTACACTGTATTACTGCATTGCATCACTGAACTCAAAAATAGCATGTTTAATTTGCGTTCACTGCCGTAAGCAAATAGTTATGATTAATCCTGTTTTGGTCCATTTAATTTTTATAACCGTCGATAAAATATTATAAGCCCCTCAGTATTCGGCTGTGAGGTCGTGGTACTTACCCGGACGAGCCAGCCCATTCGTGCAACAGCCGAGGCTGCTGCGTGGCCCTACCACAGTAACTTTGCAAACGTAATTATTGTGTATTAAGAAATAAAATTGAACACTTACTTTAGGGATTTGTGGATATTTTCCTTTCCATAAATGCAATATGTATCCAAAAATCATTCCAACAAAAAACGGAGAAGCACGAGTAAGCGTATTCGAGTAGTAGTTAGCATTATATCGGTGCATATCATCGTTGCTGAAAATATAAATTGTATTATGCATAATGTTCCTCGTGTTATTAAAGATTATTATTATTATTAGATAAATATATATTTAATCAAATAATATATAAAAATATTTGAAACATTGTTCGTATGAATAAATAAATTTAAAATGCCTCTATTTTAAATGAATTATTACTTTTTTAACGCAAAAAATCAAACATTTTTAATATACCTAGCCCCGGCATATAGTATTACAAGAAAAAAATACATGTATTTTCACTACCAAGTCACTAAGTCTGACCTATTGCCAAAGAAAAAGGAAGTTATTCTATATGGATTTATCCTTAAAAATGAATTAACTCAGAACGAAGGTATAAAAAATAACACAGTAACCCAGTTAGCGTTACAGACGTCATGCGTTGAACTGTACTCGTATAATTACTAATTATTAATAATTTATTATTTATTAATTATTATATTTATTAATTATTAATAATTTATTTTAACACGTACTTTGGTGCAAAAAAACCAGATTCGAAATCATTTATAAAATTAAAAATGGAAGCAGCAACGATTGATGTCGAACATCCAGCTATCAATGCAGTCCACGCGATATTTTTGTTCTCGCTCAACACCCAAACTAGGACAATTGGCGACAGTAGATGTAATTGAACGTCCACAGAAAGATACCATGAAACGGAAATACACTGAAATTAAAAGAACAAAATATAAGCTCTAATCATCTTAATAACAATCACTTGTTACACTTTTCACGTTCAAAAGGCCGAGAAGTCTTAGGATAAATTTGTTTCATAATTTTAATACGAAAATGTGACAAAATTAATAATAGTTACGTGGATTATAAGCACAATGGCATTGCTCGGGCCAGTGTGATACTTACCATATTTGAAACATTATAATAATTTTGAATATGCAGTAATGCTGACCACCAATATTGCCTGCAACTGACTATTGGCCCAACCATATCATTCCATTTCGGACCATCAAACACTCGATTAAGGAAAGACACCTGGTAAAGAATAAGCGCAGCGAGTATCGGAAACATTCGAAGGAGCCGATTCAAATAGAATAAATGGATGTTTTTTAGGAGTTGAGCTGTAATCAATTAGTACAATTATTAAAAATTATTTATTTATGTAAATACGTATACTATATACACATACAATTACTTACTGCTAGATAGTTTACCCGCTGTGGAGTAAACAATAAGTATACCGCTCAACATGAAAAAAGTGTCGACGGTTATAGTGGCGGAAGTGATCCACAGTGCTCTAGGTGAAGTAGCCCACTGCAACAATAAATTTATTTATTTACATTACAACTTCAGTCCGCAGTTCTCGACAATCTTCTTCTACCTTAACCAAATGTGTACCTACGCCTGAGAAGTCACTTATGATTCCATAATGATAAAGAATCAGTTCAATCACATGATTTACATGACAAACGGGTAAGCAAGCACTACATCTGTTGTTTTTACAACATACATGGCTTTCTAGCACTGCAGAGTTGAGTCACTGTATTTGGCGAACTTCAAATCCTTGCAAAAGGGCACAGTGCCTTCCAAGGATAATTGTATCCGTACTTAAAATATTATATGTACATAATATGTAAAACTAAGTCAATGCACCAATCAAGTTCTAAATACATAGTAAGTAGCTTCTGTAAATACTCATCAATAAAAATAAAAAATTCGACTTAGATGTCAAACCCTCGAGGCTGTCTTATGACCCATTATGCTGTGAAGTTTTCGAAAGGTTGGGATTATAAAGACCCTATTTAACACAATGTATTCATGATGAATGTGTAGTATTCTTTCTAAATTTATAAAAATATGTTAATATCCGTAGTATATTACGTATTATCTGCTTTCAACAATACAAATATGCATAGTGCAGAATAGAAATTAAAAATAACGAAAAGTTTTAATTGAAAGGGTCTAAGAATTTTTTTTTTGGCATAGAACTGATTCAACCCTTTTAAAGAAGTGTAAAGGGCATTTAATAACACACCTGAATTACTTCGAGTCTGTTAACGCTGGATAACACGGATAGAAATGTGTGACCCAGGACAACCCAAATCATCGCCAACGCTCTGATACCGTCTATACAATGCAACGGTTCGGCACCTGGTTTAAAAGTAACTAAGCGCCGTGTATTAGTGTATACAGAGAAACAAGTGTTTAATCTGTTTATTCCATTTGTATCTGAAATCAAAATAAATAGTCCATCGAGATATAACGTTAAGCTGTCTATTATCGGCGTTTGCAGCAGCCTTACGAACATTGCAAATAATTGTAGACCACCGGACTTGATACGAGTTTACAACTACTTCACACAAATGCGTTTATGAATTTTTCTGTACACTAATTTCAACGTATAAAGAGCAAAATTTCTTTTGTATCTCCAGTACTTTACCTTTTTTTAGAATAATCGAATACCAAACATCGTAACACGTGCTTAGTATTACAAGGAACAGAATTGTTGAAAATATTATTCTGAAATGAAAAGAAAAAATATGTACTCAATATATTATCTTGAAGATTTTTGTTTATAATTGTAGTAACATGGAGCAGCAGTATATTTGTATATGTTTAATAGTTAGGCATAAATTTAATCTAAACGAGCTCGTCTGAATCTAGCGTCGGCGATGTCAAGAGTAAAGTGAATGTACTGTTACAGGGATCTCCTTCTATGAGAAGATCACAACTCTTGCTTAGGTACTAACAGGCATTCTAGCAGTAATGAGTAAAAAAAAATAATGTTAGGAAGAAGATTGACTTCGCAAAATGAAATTATTCATATCTTACGGCGTTTTTTTTTTTCACGAAAAATTTAAGTTTTAATCGGCAGCAGAATTTACGTTTTGTAGCGCTGTCATGCCTGTGACAACACTCAGTACACAAACAGCAATAATAGATTTCTATGAATAAAAATAGTCATAGTAAATAAATATGTTAATAAACAACTTACATTGCTATATAATCGGACGGTACCCAAGGCTTGTCGTTTGGGAGGCGGCAAAACTGTTCTTCCAAATTTAAATTGTAAATTGTAAGGTTTAAGAACAGCGCGTCAACAGCTTCACGTGGCGTACAAGATTCTGGTATGCAAATAGCCAAACGCAAATTAATATTTGACAAAGGGCTGCTATCTAAACTCATCCTGTATACAAGAAAGTAATATAATTTTAGTTATTTGTATTAAAAATTACTAATTTACAAAGTGCAGCAGTATGAATATTATAATATTAAATAAAACTAACCTCGTATCGTAACTCTGTATCCCAAAAATTTCTCCTAAGCTTTTGTCTAGACGATCGAATACAGAAAACTGATTAAAGTTTTCTAAACCTACAACCGGCCATTCCAAAAAACTGATCAGCATACTCTGGTTCAATGATACACGTGTCATACAGTATTTTCCTTGAACAGTCAAGTCTTCTACAAACTCATGAATATTCAAACATTGGTGATAATTGCCTAAGTCAAGGGTATTTCCCAATAAAATTGACTTTGGAATCCTCGCACTTGCATCTAGGACTGAAATTATTTAAAATAAAATTAATCAGTATCTATAACATAGTGCTTTGGTTTGAAAATAGGACTTGTAATGTTGAAGTTAGGAGTTTATATACTTTTTTATAAACTTTGTCCTGGGCCTATCGGGTATATAACGGATATCCGTGTTTAGAGTTGCTACTCGCAGATATATTTATAGACCTGATTCGGGTTTATAATCTTATTACTACTTCTTATGTCAATTCAGTATGATGCGTTAAGTTTGAAATTTGTAGAAAAATGGACGAAAAGTTTAAAGCTTACTTAAAAAGCCAAGACGATTGGTATAAGTAAATGTTGCTAAACCACAAAAGTAATGCACACAATGGATAAGTCCATGGATATCTAAGGATAGGATGATACGCAATTTAAAATATCAAAAATTTATCGGTCAATACCTTAAACTTGAACTTATGAATAATATGGAATTATCATAGCCTGAATATTGCGCACTTATCTTATAAATATACTCACATCGCAGCATCAGCGCGGTATTATTGAATTTCAGGGAGCTCAATTGCCTTTGACATAGCTCTGGATTTAGTACATCTTCATACAGTTTTTTGTCGAACGGGTAATTAGAAAAATCATGATCCTCTTTATATATTTTATGCCCATTACAAAATGTATGCGTAATCATCGTAAGAAAAATCAATATCGAAAATAACAGTTCAAATGCCATTTCACTAAGTCTGTTCAGGCTCTCAATGAGCAATGCGTCGAAATTAGTTGCTTACACTTTTTATATTAAAAGCAGGACAT